GGAAAGCATCTGGGCGCCATCGCTGTTCTCGTCAAACTTCGCGTTGACCAGCTTGCGCGTCTTGACCGGGTTCTCGCCGGTGGCCTGGTTGATCACCACGCGCATCTGGGCCGTGTCGCTGACCGGCTTTCGTGCCAGGATGTCTTCTTCGGTGAAGCTGGTCATGTAGATGAACTTCTGGCCTTGGCGATCGTAGTCGTAGGTCAGGTAAATGGTGCCGTCGTCGGCCTGGGCCCCGTCGGGATAGGAAACGCCAGACCGCTCGTCGAGCAGCAAGCCGCCATCCCAACTCTCGCCGTCGTCCTTACTGACGAACGCGGTCAAGTGCGAACGGCCGGTCCGCGTGTCGATCGGGCCATGCTTCACCAGCAGCAGGTTGCCCGAGCTTAGACGGCGAATGAAGAAGCGGGACGCCGTGTGCTTCACCTCCCATGGGGTCACCGGCGACCAGGTGCGTCCTTGATCCTGCGAGAACGACTCGCCAATACCGTACCCGGTACGAACGAGTTGCCAGAGCGTGCCGTCTTTCTTCTCGACGATCATCGGCTCGTCGCAGTTACGATCCTTCTTGTCCGGGACGCTGGCAGTGCCGCGCAGTTGCCAGGACTTGCCCTGATCGGTCGAAGCGACCACGCGGCAGCTTTCGTCGCCGCCCCAGATGGCCGTCGGCAATAGCCAGTCTCCACCGGTAATCGCGGTCGGCTTGCACATCAGCACGCCGTCATGAATATGGCGAGCTTTCGACCAGGTTGGGTTCGCGTCGTCTGGGTTATCGGTGGTGATGGCAAACGTGTGGGGATCGCCTCCGCCGCCACGGGTGGCCTGACACCAGAAAAGCCAGAGCTTGCCGTTGGGGTCGACCCAAGGGCAAGGGTCAAATGCCCGCACAGGGCCTTCCTGATCAGGATCGATCACCAGCTTCATTTCCGACCAGGTGTGCCCGTCGTCGTCGCTGGTCACCAGCATGATGTAGTTGTGGCGATCTTCGGTAATGCCACCGCCATACCACGTTGCCCACAGTCGCCCCCCTGGCGAGCGTTCCAGGCTCGAGATCCCTTGAAACATGCGCGTTTCGTCCGCGTACTTCTCGCCGGGATTAAAGTCGACTGTCGGGGGCACGGCCGCGGCGGTCTTTTCTGCGTCGGCGGCCGAAGCGCTGGTCGACAGGCCGAATAGAACCGTCGTCATGACGACCGACAACGTAAAACGAAACGCACNNGCGGCTTACGGTTGTTCTTTGGGCTGTCCGCTGTTGCGGGCGGCCAGCAGGTTGTAGGTTTCAAAGTTGATCGTTTCCGGGATGAAGCTCACACTTCCGTCACCGTACAGGAAGTTGCAACCACCGGGGTGTTGGCTTGCGAAGTTGGCATCGTAGTCCCCCCAACTCGCCAGGATCGGGCCATTCATCGGCGAGGCCGTGTTCCGCGAAGTCCAGAAACCCCACAGGTACTGAGGGCCGTCCGAGACGTTCGGGCCCACGCCGTCGATCAGGTTGCCGCTGGTATCGCGATACTCTTGAACGCGTTTCTCGCCAATGGCGATCGTATTCGAAAGGCCATCGGTCACCGAGGCGAACGTCAGTTGACCTGGCTTCGACCAAAGCTTGCCACCGGAACC